AGGAGCTTGCTGGGGAAGGTGGGCCAGCGGGACTCAGAGGTGCTGAAGGTGTGCCGCGCTGCGGAGCAGGGTCTTCATACTCTGCCCTGCTCCTGGGCCCGTGTGGAGCCCCATGCCTGGAGCCATGCTGAGGAGCTGCCCAAGGTGGTTCGTGGCTGCATCTTCCAGGAGCAAACCCGGCCCATATGGATTGAGGAGGGCGACGACTGAGCTGGGGGTAGCAGAGCTACCAGCTTCTGTCCCCGGGAGCTGTTCTTGGGCAGGAGAACAGGCAGCGTGTCCTTCCTCACCGAGGGGATGCTGGCAGCAAAGGCCATCAGGAGTAGCCTTTCTGGTCCCCTTGAGGCCCTCAAGAGTCGGGGAGTAACATGTGCTTCCTCCCCTGTCTGAGCTTTCTGTGGCTTAGTGGAGAGACGTCTTCCACCATCATGGTGGGAAACCACCCCCGTGGGCTGTTCCCCGTCACCTTGGGCTGCTCTTGTCTCTGGTACATGGTCAGATTGCCAGATGGGGAATGCAGGGGTACTGTGTGGATCAGGCTGTGTAGAAGCATATCTCACACACGTTTGAAGCCCTTTTCCCGTCATCTCTGTCTACTCTGCCCTGTGGCACTGTGTGCTCTGGGTCCCCTCTTCCCCTGTCTACCTCGCCCCCAGCCCCATGGTGCAGGGAGCATGGCTTGTGTGCCAATGCCCTGTCGTGGCTGGAGTGACACTAAGCTTGCAACAAACACTCGTTTTATAGGAGCTGTACTCTTTATTGCTTGTAAATTATTAATGGAGCCTTTTATTGGCAGAGCGCATGTAAAGGAGAATTAAATACCATTCATAATGGGAATGGGTGGCAGGCTGTGGGCATGTGTGTTACTGGGAAGGTTTGCCTGCTGCATGACAGGGTATTTTCCTCCTCCTTCAGCTGAGACCCAACTGCCCAGCCCTCCAGGGGAAGGAGGGAGTGCTGTTTTTGCTGTTGTGGGGAGAGAGCATGCTGAGTGTGCTACCAACCAAGCCTGCTCCAATTTCTACTTGCCCTTTGTTTTTCAGTCCCTTGCCTCATTCCCTAGTGGTTACGGGGCTTTAGGAAAGCCAGGGAGAAAGCTAATTTGATGTGTCTGGTTGAGATCCCTAGAGCTTTGCATTCCTCCGTACCCTGGTTATCGTGACATGAGGAGCCAGCTACCTCACCCTCCTGGGTGACAACAGTGAGACTTTAGCCCAGCCACGCTGCCAGGAGAGTGGGGACAGTGCCCCTCTCATGGGGGCTGTTCTCACCCTGAGATGGGGCGAGTGTGGGTTCAGGCTCTGGCAGAGGGAAGAGGAAGGGTTGGGGTAGCAAGCAGCCATGCTCACCCACTCAAACATGGTCCTGGCTCGTAACCAGTTGCCATTATCAGGTTTGATATGGGAAAGGGATGCTAGGATACTTGGTGTTTGTGGTACTAGATGGTCTTTCCCTGGGCATACAAGAGGAAAATAAAGTGTATGATTCTGGGAGGCTCTGTGGGGCACAAGACTAGGCAGAGGGCTGAGCCCACTGGTCCTGTGGTCAATGGGAGAAGATGGTCAGTCAGCACCAAAGTCCTCTCTGTGTCCTCCTTGCCCCTGCGATGAGGGTACCGCTAGTGCCATGTGTTTTGAATCTCTGAGCAAAGATTAACTTGCTGATCTTCATGGGTCCCCTGTGTGGTGTTATTTCAGGCTCTAAACCAGTTGTCTGTGTCTTTTATGAGGACAAGAGTGAAGGGAGGAGGGAAGAAAATGAAGAGATTTTAACCTGCAGTCCCTAAAATGTAGAGCAGAGTCCCAGCTCCGCCCTGGAGCAATGCAGCTCTCCTCCCAGGGAAGGGGGAACTGCTCTAACACATGGCTCCAGATGAAAGCTCCCAAATGGTACCCACTCCAGGGGATGCAGCTTGAACATCCCAGCACAGGTCCCTTCAAGGGTGCTTGCCCTGAAGGCAGACAAACTGGGACTCTTGTCGAGCTGATGAGAAGACGGGTCCCAGAGCAAGCTCCCATCCACCCGGGCATGGATTTGAACATTAGAGTTTGCATCTTTGCAGGGGAAAAATGTAGTGCTTGAGTACCCAGGGAGAGCACTGTGTGAGGCGCTTGATGAAGGGCTCGACAGCTCAGTGTCCCTGCTGGCACTGGGAACCATCCCCTATATCCTATAACCTAGGCTGAGGATGGTTAAGAGCAAGCCCTCCCTTTTGGGTAGTCCAGACTCCCAGCTTGGTGCTTACTACCCTCCCTGGGCCATCAGTATTGTCAGCCTGAGGGAAAGGAAAGCAACAGAGTGTTTCTGGGAGGCAAGCTGGCAGCAGGCACCATTGCCTTGCCCACTCCTAGGCTTCCTCCAGGCCCCCCTCTTACTCCTTCTTCTCTGCCCTGAGGCTTTCAAAATCCAGCCTCAACTCGTTTGGGACACGGGTGAGAAGCAGAGGGCTCTAGGGCAAACCTAAATGACCTCCTGCTGTCCCACACACCTCATCCCACCTTCTTTGTGCCTCTGGGGGGGGTGCTGCCTGCTCCCAGGAATGAGTCACGGGTTAGGTAACAGAATGCAATTAGCAGCCCTGGGCACTAATTACCAGCTGTAGCAACCTTATGCAAGCCCTGTAACAGTCACCCAGAGCAAGGTTTCTCCCTCCAGAGCAAGGAACAGCAAGGCAGTGTGTATGTTGTTCTGGGAAGGCATCAGCCTTTTCTATGCTGTCCCCCATGACCCAGAAGAGCTGCAGCATTATGGGGTGTATGTCCCATGTACCCCCAACCCCGGGGCAGGATTGGGCACCTGATGCTACCCCCCCATCATTGGCACCTAAGAAGAAAGTGTCTCAGTGCAAGAAGCAGGCTGTGCTCACCTCTAGCATCAGGCATGTTCTGGTTTGTACATGGTTGGATGTGACCTCTTCTGCATCCCAGCACCATGCTCTGTACAAGGTAGCTTTGTGTCATATTTGTATGTATTTTGGGGACATCATTAAGGATCCTCTGCCCCTGTCCCCCTTTCCCTCCCAGGGCTGGGAGGTGCTGCAGGATGTCTGGGAGCCATGGAAGCTGCATTTACAGCTGCCTGGCATGTGGCTGGAGCACTTGGAGAGGTTAATTTCTGGTTTGGGAGCAGCGGGTAGCCACGGGAGTGATCCCAGTATTGAGCATGAGGCAGTGGATCACTCATGCTAGCTTCACATCCCTGCAGTAATGTAAGGCCTGAAGGTGAATGACTCCCCCCCCTTGCCCCAAATCAGTGTAAGAAAGCATTGCTATTCAAAGGGATCTAAAAATGAAACCTGCAGGGACTCTCCAAAGGGATATAGGAGATGCTCTGGAGATGTTCATGCTTCAGGAGAGGGCTAGGACTCGTGGAGACTTGGAGAGCTACATGGGAGGAGGGCAGAGAAGTGGATTTGGTGGTTTCTTCCTTACGAAAGAAAGAAGTTGTGGACAGGGCTGGGGTGAAAACGTACATGTGAGGCTTGGGGGAACCGAGTACATGGCTTTAGCTCTGCAGGGAGTGTGTGCCTGGAACGTGTCTGTGTCTGGACACATGGTGGGAGTGTGGAACAGAGAGACCTTGACCCCTTCCTTGACCCCTTTTCTAAAGTCCTATGTTCTGACGTGCATGGGGGAGTCCTTTGCCACATGGAGCTGTGTCCCCACACATTTCCCCTGGGTCCCCATCTTATTACTTCTTATTTTTATTTTGTGGGATGCTGATTGAATGCCCACAGTTTGCAGCTCCCTGAGGAGGTGCTCTGATTTCAGCAGCTTATGTGGAGCAATGCCATCCTGCTATACCCATACTTGGTGCACAGGGAAGCTAGGGGTGCACTGTCATCTCCCTCCTGGATGATACCGGATAGCTGGTTGCCTCTCTGTACCCTCCTGACTGCTCTGTGAAGTGGTCTAGAGATGGCATGAAGGGGATCTTCATGGTCATCTACCCCATATCCAACTGAATGCCCTCCTTGGTCTCACTGGCCTTGGTGGTGAAGGTGGCACAGGGGAGATACACAGCCATGCCCAACAGTGTTGGGAGGAAGGAGCTGGAGATGCTATTTTTCTGCTGTGCCTGCAGGACTCTCTAGTGTACTCCACAGAGGGAGAGCTCACCCGCTTCCTTCCCTGGGGAAGGGGAAAAGGAAGCATCATCTTGGACAGCACAAGAGCTGCAAGGGACAAATTGCTGAGCTCAGCCCTGCTGCAGGGGGCAAGGGGCTGATATAGACTCAGTGGTGACCACAGACATTGAAAGGAAGGTGCCAGGCCCTCCCTTGCACTCTCTGGTGCTGGTGTGAGCGTCACTGGTTCTGCAGTCACTTGGGCAGCAGATGGTGGGGCATCCCTGGTGAGGATGTGAGATGGGACAGAGGCGACGCATGGTTGCAGAGAGAAAGGGACCTTCACGAGTAGGGAGGGTCTGGGATGTAGTCTGGGGAGATGGTTGCCAGAAGTGGGGGTCAAACTCTCCTTAGAGACCGTGGAGCATGTGGGGAAAGGGAGGGGGGGGCAGCAGTGGACACACAGTCCTGCTTTGGAGAGGCAGGGTGATGTTAAAGATAAATTCAGGAACCATCTGGGGCAGTTCCTGGTGAAGCATAGCTCTTCGCAAGGACAATGGAGTACCCTGCACTTTAATTCCACCAGCGCGCACATCCCTGCCACCCTCTCCTCCTCCCGCAGGAGCACAGCGCTGTCATAGCGGAGCGGGGGCAACAGTCAAGCAACAGGTTTGGCCACCCAAATCAGCTCCGAGGTTCCCAGCGTGTTAATGCCACTGTCAGACCAGGAGCTCCCCCGTCCCCATCCTTCCCCCTCCATCCTCTTCCTCCCCCGGGGCTGGCGCTCCGCCCCGTACCCGGAGGCGGGACCGGGGCCGGTGCCGGCTTGGAGCCAAAGCGAGCAGTAGGGAGGGAGCAGGTGGAGAGGCAGCGCTGCCACATGCATGCCCCCCGGGGACCCTCGGGATGCTCGCTTTCCCCCGGGAAGGGAGTGCTTTCCCATCGCGCGTCCCTGCCTTGCCGGGTCATTGAGTCATCTGAGTCTGTGAACAATTCCCCCTGCTTCACTGGTGCCTCCTTTCTGGTCTTCACCCACCCTATTCCTTGGCCACATCCTGTTCAGAACTTGCTCATGGCTGATTCTGCCCATTTGGAGGCTTCAAGAAGAGTGGATGGCTTCACATGGAGGTACCCGCAGTGGTTGTCTTAGTTCAATAAGATACTGTCTGTGACAGGAATAAACTGGGAGCTATGGGCTGTAGGCTCATCCATGGTCTCTCTGGAGCCGCAGTCTTCCTAGTCAGCGTGGCTCTCCTCTCTGTGCGGCACCGTGGGGCTCGGGAAGCAGCTCGGTACCCAGGGCTCAGGGAGGGCATGTCGCTGAAGACAGAGCAATGGAGCAAAGCGAGCCCAGAGGGAGGAGGTGGCAGGAGGCAGAAGGACCTGCGAGTCCATCGGCCAGAGGAATACAGGACTGAGGGAAGCCTGACTCTTGAGGACATTTTCATAGCTGTGAAGACAACCAAGAGATTTCACCAAAGCAGGATGGAGCTGCTCCTCGACACATGGATATCCCGAGCCAGAGAGCAGGTGAGTGTGGATTCAGACTGCAGAGGGGGTGTTTGATAATGGGGTAGGGGGGATAAAGGGCACTGCAGTCCCACCCAGTAATTTGCCTAGTTTTCCCCAATTCTTACTTCTGTTCACTTGAAGGGGCATGCTACCATCTATGTCTGTGCTTTGGTAGCTACTTTGTGGAAGAGAGAATGAAGAGCTTGTGTGGACTCTTCCTATGAAGTCTGGGAGGACAAATGCTCTTAGCAGGCATCACACCTAACCTAGGTCTGACTTTCAGCTTGAGGCGGAAAGGACTTAATTCCCTTTTACTAACTAGTAACACCAAGGGCTGCAGACTTCCTGTGCCACAAGAGACCACGAGCACAGACTGTACTGGGCATGTGTGAAACGGTGGTTTTCTATCTCCAAGTGCCATGAGTTAGCGAGGTTTCAAGCTGAGTGGCTCCTTGGCTCTCCATCAGGCTGCCTGGGCACCTTTTACCCCAAGACGGTGTGGTGCAGCGGGCAGGAGGACCTGAAGGGCTTCATAGAGTGCAGGAGGGGTGCTTGCAGCCATGTTCAATGCCAGCACATCAGTGCAGTCCATGCCTTTCTTTCTTTGGCAGATCCCCTCACATGCATCATCTTGAAGTGACGTGGGTGCGTGTTTGATCTTTTAAACATATTTATTTATTTTTAACTGGTGTCTGATGTTTCCACCCTTTGCTAAAGCAGAGTTCAGAGGGTTTCCTTCCTGTTAGAGGAACTGACGTGGGGCATCACATTGGCGGCTCTGTGCACACTGGCTCAGTGGTGGGCAGAAGTACTCCCCAGAGCCCAGGCGCTTCTCTCCCTCCCTCGCAGAGCTGCTCCTCAAGAAAGAAGAAATCCCGTGGCTGCCCCCAAGGGCTGTGTTTTCTCGCCTCTGCCTGTGTGTAATGGGCACCTAGAAGGCAAATTCAGGCCTCAGTGAGGAAGGGGGACGGGGGTGGAGGTACAGTGTAGGAGAGGGCTTGAAGCAGTGCAGGGTTTGCTGGGTAAGGGAGGTTTTCCACTTCGTGGTGCTGCAACTGTCTGGTCTGCCGCGGGCGTCACAGGAAGCCATGTCCTATTTTGAGCACGCTTCCTATCCTGCCGCGTGTCCCTCTCGCCATCCGTGATGCCCTGCTTCCTCCTCCAGATGTACTTCTCCTCTCTGCCTCACCTCAGCCCAGCAGCTCTTTAGAGACACCAAACCCATCCACACGGCCACACTGGCATGAAGATACCGTAACTGAGGAGTTTGGAGTGGGTTTTACGGAGAAGCTCAGCTTGCGTGTTTGACGAACAGGCATCTGGTCATTCTGCATATGACAGGAGTCAAACACTAGCTCCCCAGAGTCATCTGACCCTCTCTGTTTGGCAAATGATGTCCAAACCTGGGAAGAGGTGTTGAATTTTCCATGCTGTTGCTGGCCTCTAGGAAAGCTTCACAGACTGAGCAGGAGAATAGGAAGGAAGGGTAGAGTGGGAGCATCAGTCATGTTAAAAGTGTTTTTTACGTTGTTATCCATTTTTGTTGCAAGCTCAGTGTTTTCATCACCCCTCCTCGATTTTCTATGTTTTTCTTCTGCTTTTTTGCTAAATGACATAGAGGGCGGGGGAGTGGAGGCAGGAAGGAGAAGTACAGGAATGTTAAGAGCCTTTTTGTTTTATTAATTATACTGCTTCTGGAGGGGTTTTAGTTTTGAAAAACCGATGATATAGAAACCTTACTTAGCAAAAAAAGGAAGAGTGCTTTCCATGGCAAAGGACATTTCATTGTGGGACCAGGGATAGATCACCAGATTTCCTGTTATTGAGTCCTTATGGAGAAGTGCAGGGTTTAAGTGCCAGTCTTGGAGAGACCCAGGTCTCAGAAGCCCTGATATGCAGAGACAGCCTCCTCCTAGGGCAGAGCCATCATCTTGCTGTCTCACTTGCTCTTACTCATGGCTGGAGACTGGTCCAGTAGATCCTTCTCTGCAGATGGTGATATTGCTGATGCTAAGCCTGGTTTCAGAGCTGATTACTTGCATGGTGTCCTCCCAGAGGAGGCAACCCAGACTTCACAGGTCAGGCTTAGGTGGCTGTAACAGGAGGCAGGAACAGATGGGGTTTTTATGACTAGGATAGACTGTATGGGAGCCAAATTAAAAGTCCTCTATGTTGGACTCTGTCAGGGTAGACAATAAAATAGAGAGATGTTTCCCCTGAAATTGCACTCTTTAAATAGCAGATATGCAGCTGGTGGGAGATGGGAAAGGGGAAGTGCAAGGTGGACTCTCTTCTCTGGATCATGCTCTGCCTCTTGAGAATGGATCCACAACAAACTTTCCACTGGGGCTTGATGTGGAGGTCATTTCAGCAAAAGGTCCTCAGCAAAAAAACCAACAGAGGTGTTGGTTTTAATAGTTGTTTAGGCATCTTGGAGTGGCTTACATTCTTGGCCCCAGCAGGGAGAAGTCTAGTTTTCAGGTCTGAAATGGCAATTTGTTGGCTAACGTAAACTAATTTTAGAACCTCCCCTCCTTTCAGAAACCCAGACATCCAAACAATTGGAATTAAACCTTTGAATGGCCCACCCTGAACAGGCTTTCACATTTCAGTGTTGTGAACGCACTGCAGCTTTTGAATCTGCTCTCCAGGCAGGACGCAACCATGATCCTGCTGAGGTGTTCCCATTTTGGAGGGGGTTTCTTCTTGGAGGAGGAATACCCTGGGAGTCTGGGAGAAGAGTGTGGCTCTGGATTGTCAGGTTCCACATCTTTATTCCCTTTTCCTAGTTTCTCCTTGCTAGGCTACTTTCCCAGTTTGGGGTGAGGAGGTCTCAAAGTCTCGTATTTATCCATTTCATGGGCTTTTATGTTCATGGAGAGCGGCCACACAAAGCTGTCTGACACTAGTGGCTCCATGTCACTGCTTGCACTGCCATCCAGCAGACATCCTTTCCCACCCAGCCATCTTCTCCACTCCAGAATGGAGGGATGCTTTCCATACTGTATCTGTCCTCAGGCCCAGATCAACCGCTCCACATTAGCATCCTGGCCCAGTCTCAGTGTGCTGAGGCACCACAATGGGAGATCCTGCATGACCCCACAGATGGTCTGGTGGAGAACAGGAGGGTGAATATGGTGGGGAAGCTGCTTCTGTCTACTCCATTTGCCTGCAGAGCCACAAGGGACATCAGGTATTCTCCAGCAGGTAGAATAGGTCTGGCATGGCCAGAGAGACTTTCTGAATCTCTTCCAGACTCCCTTAGTATGGATAACAGTGGCTGGTGTCTCCTTGAGAAAGACCTGTCTTCTCCATCCCATCCGTCATGTGTAGCTTTGTTGAGGGACACATGGCAGTGGTCACTGGGATGCTGGCAGCAGCTGCTGGTTGCCCATTCTCAGGGATGTGAGGGATGGAGAGATGAGGATGCAGGCAGCTGCTTGTGCTGTTGTGGTTTCCTTCGGGACAGAGCCAGGGAACACACTCCAGCATCTCCGGAGTGCTGCAGCCACATATGCCATGGACATCAGAGTTTGGGAGAGCCAGAGGAATCAGATTTGCCTAGTCCCCACATTCATAACCTTCCTTTTCCAGTTATTTTGCACAGTCTGGTGTTCCCCGTGGTGGCAATGTTCATTCATCCTTGGGTTCCCACAGAAACATGTTGGGTGTCTCCAAAAGTCTATTTGCCACCCTGCATCAAGAGGAAAAGTGGGAACCTCAGAATATTTTCACAAGTAAGAAATCTGGTAAAAGATGCAGATCCCTATTTTAAGTCAATCAGATATGATGTTTATTAGACACACGATTTCTAGTCAGAGTTGTATCTGTAAACAAGTCATTTCCACCAACAACATTTCTGTTTTTTTTTCTTTGAAAATGTCAGAAAATTTCAACAGTTTCAGATGTTGTTTTTTTCTTGATTAAATATTTGTCATAGTGGAAATTTCTGGCTCTGATGCGCTGGCAAGGGAAATCCCGTGCCACTAGCAACCCCTGCCTTGCCTGAGGGTTGTGATATGGTCCCCTGACCCAGAGTGACTCCTTTACCTGAGACTTAGCTAATAGTTTCTTGTCCCGTGATCACCTTGAAAGTGGTTTTAACTAAAAGGTTTTACCAGTGGAGTGAGGTAGGAATGTGTGTGTGACCTGTTGCTGCAGCTTAACTGTTAGAGGGTTATTTGCCAAGTCACTGTAGCACATACATGAAACCATCCTGCTGTCCCTGCTTGAGACAGGTCATTGCCTTCTTGTCATGTGTAGCACATTTCTCTTGCCATGTGGTTCTGATGGGGACATATGTCCCAAACGCTGGCTGAGTGTGGGGAGGCATAGAGATGCTCTTGGAGCAGTTGTCAGGCTGCCTTGTCCCTTTTGTCCTTGCCCAGGTGCTGTGTTTAACCAGGCTGTGGGCAGCTGGTGGAGCGACTGTTTATGGCTTGCGACTCCTTTTTGGTTTAGTGAAAGCTCATTTTCTGCCTGAGGAAAGCTTTTCTTCACCAGCCCTGATCCCTGCCAGGCCCTGAAGAGGGGGAGATGTGCCACATAATGGCATCGAGGGGGATTAGAGAGGTCTGGGGGTGGAGAAAGAGAAGGAGGAGGTGAGAAGCGGCAGGGGGCTGTGCACACTTAACACACAAGCAGATGTTCTCCTTTTAACCTGAGCATCATTCAGCCACAGTGCTTTTGCTTTTCTACCACCAACACCTAATACCTCCCCTCCTCACTTGGTGTCACGGGTCCTCTTCTCTCTGTCCCCAAGGTGGCTGGGGAGTGTGGGGTGGAAGGAAATGAAGCCACACAAATACTGACTCTTGTGCCATGCGGGAAGGGGGAGCGTAGCCATCCGTCTCTGGCTCAACTGCTGCCTGGAAGAGGGGCAGCAGAGGATGGAGTGGGGTGACCATGCTGACCATGTCCACCTGTGTGAAAAAGGGATGGGTGGCCAGGAGCACCACCAGCTCCAACCCTGAGAATAACCTCCTGTTCTTGTTTCCCCAGACCTACGTCTTCACCGACGAAGAAGATGATGCCCTGAAAAGGAGAATGGGTAATGTCCTGTCCTGTAACACCACATCCCTTCACTTTCAGCCTCTGGGATGGGCCCAGCATGAAAACTGGCTGTCTTGTGCTAGTGTTGCCTTCTGAAGCACACCCCTTTCCATGGCATGTGACAGCACCCCAAGCTCCAGCAGTGATGGTTTGGTTTAGTTGGTGTACCCCAGGGCATGCAGCCAGCTGCCTTAAAGCATCCATGGGTGGAAACAGCCCATAAGAGAGCCCTTCAGCCCCCACCCTGGCTATCAGTGGGCAGGGTGGGAGTGTAGTTGATGGGTGTCCTAGTCTTGGCCAAGATGCTTGGCTTTCCACAGGTTCCATCTCCTGGTGGAGGGCAGGATGGAGCCCATGTCATCGCAGGCTTGATTGCCTGTTTGGGGGGTGATGAGGAGGTTGTCTGTGAACAAAGCCCCTTCCCTTCTGCCCAGAGGTCCTCCCTGTGCCCACGTGAAGGGGGTTGGCCACAGTTTTCTCTATCCTGGCAGGTGACCACGCGATCTTCACCAACTGCTCTGCTGAGCACAGCCACCCGGCTCTCTCCTGCAAGATGGCTGCTGAGTTTGGTGCCTTCCTGGCCAGCACTCAGAGGTGAGGCAGGGCTGACGCAGGGGTCCCCTGGGAGAAAGGGGCACCCTCCTTACCCCAAACCTCTTGTGCCTTTGTTCCTGCAGCTGGTTTTGTCATTTGGATGATGACAACTACCTAAACCCTCAGGCCCTCCTGAAGCTCTTGTCCTCCTACTCTTCTAATCGGGACATTTACTTGGGGAAACCCAGCCTGAACCGACCCATCCGGGCCTCCGAAATGCTGCCAAACAACCAGACGGTACAACCCATGGTGGTGATGCAGGGGCAAATGGGGTGTTTTTAGTGCTCTGGTTCATTTGCTGTAGACTTGCCCCAACAAGAGACAAGTCCTAGGAGGAGCAGGCAAGAGCTGAAAACTCATCAGTCTTGTCTGAACATGGTTGTAAGTGTTGACTCGATCTGTTCTATGTTGGGGAAGAGTCCCACATTGCTGCTGAGCCTTTGGGTACCTGCCTGCCAGGAGATAAGCCTGCCTGGGGCAGCTTGCCTGCTGCTGCCAGCAGGAACTTGGCTGCTCCAAATATAAGGTCAAAATCCATGCTGTACTGTTGGCAAGTCCCTCTTCTGGGCAGCAGTCAAGGGTTTAGGGTGACAATAGGGCTGCTTTTGTTCTGGCACCAAAGCTGGGTTTCCAGCATTCCCATCTCAGGGAGTATGGCATCGTCTGAGCCTCTGCCATGGATTTTCTCTGCTGTTTCTCTCCAGAAGCCTGTACGCTTCTGGTTTGCCACGGGAGGAGCTGGGTTCTGCATCAGCCGTAAGCTGGCGAGCAAGATGGTGCCATGGGCCAGGTGAGCTGTGCTGCTGGTGAGTATGGGAGCCACTGGGGATGGATGAGGAGCACGGCCACGCAGTAATTCCTTGCAGTGGCAGATCTGGATGTGTGTATGTGGTGTTTGTAAGGATGTTTGCAAGGGTGCACAGTGCCACAGGCTACACATCTGCAAGCACATGGGGCTGGAGGAAGGATGCAGTGGATGGCTCTGCCACCTGATTAAAAAGAAACGAGAGCAGGCACGTTGGCAGACATGATCATGGGAAGACATACCGCCTCTTGCCAGCTCCTTTCAGCTCTTGATTATTCCCTCACATTCCTTCCCACCCTTTTCAGCTTCCTCTGACTCTTCTCCTGAGTGTTTTCCCTGTCTGCCTATCTCCTCTCTCCTTAATCTGCCTCTTTCCAACCTCCTGACCCTCCCTCCTGAGCTAATTTCCCATTCCCCCACACCAAACCCTCTTCAGCTCCTTACAGTGGCCTTTCTCATTTCCTCAGAGAACAGAGGTAGGTCCTCGGGTCTTGTGTTGTTAGCCCAGTCTACAACAAGATGATGTTTTCCATGATGCAGTAGGTTATATCACAGGCTATATACACACAGTGATAGGCAATGACTGTGCCAGCCTTAACCAGATCTGTGCATACCCAGAAAGACAGATCCAGTCCATGCCAGGTGGCTGGTGTAGCTGAAGCCCATGAGATGTATTTTATGGCAAACCCAGACAGGAGGATAATCTGTGATCTAGTGTAAAATGGAAGTGGAACGGATGGTTAACGCCTAACCTGGCATAAAGTCTGCCAATACCGTGTTAAAATGCCTAAACGCTGCTTCACGTTGTGTGGCTGCTTTCAGTTACAGGAGCTGTAAAACTTAGTTTAACCTGTCATCAGAGGATGGCCAAGCATGTAGGAACATGTAGTTACAGCGGAACCATGGATGGCTTATTCAAGCTGCATGAAAATGTCCTGTTTCTTCTTCCTCCTGGTCCTGGCCATGTGGTCCCGCTGCTAGCTGGTCCCTCAGGGACTCAGTGCAGCTCACTAAACAGTTGGAAAAGTGACTTGGCAAGGTCTGCCAGCTCTTTATCAGTTGGATATGTATCAGGGGCAGCATCGAGCAATTGATGGGACAGGATGGCTGGGAGCAGTGAAAGATCAAACACATTCCCAAACCTTTGCAGGTGGAACTCAGGGATTTCTTGCCTAGATCCAAGATTTACTCTGGTTTTCAGTTAAATCCTTCACTTATCTCCCACCCAAATGGATGCCTATATCCCCCCCCCCCCCGACTCCTTTCCTAACGCACGCAGCCCTCCTTTCTTCCAGTGGCAGGAACTTCCTGAGCACTTCTGAGCTGATCCGCCTGCCGGATGACTGCACTGTGGGTTACATCATTGAATGCAAAGTTGGTGGGCATCTGATGCCCAATGTACTCTTCCATTCACACCTGGAGAACCTGCAGCTCATCCCCCCTTCTCAGCTCACGCGGCAGGTGAGGAGGGGAAATGGACTAAGAGGGAAACATGTGAGGAAGGAGAAGTGGAGGGGAGTGCATAGGCACATTGCTCAACATGGGTTGAATCAATCGCCTGCTCTTTTGGGGAGGCTTTCCTGACAAATGCTTCTTTGAAACAAGGAGCAGATGTTGCCTGCAGCACAGATGCCAGTCACAGTACCCCTGGGGTCAGTGGTGGGGAGCACATGGATGCGGAGTGATGGGAGGATTGAGGGCATCCCTGGGGGAATGGGGCACAAAGACAAGCAGAAATGATTGACTGGGGAAGGGTCTCTGACATGGCACCATGTCTGCCCTGTGTGGGGAAATGACAAGGGGTGTAGGGGGCTTGGAGAGGCAAAAGACTAGCACAGTGGGCCACCATGGAAAGAAAACATGGAAGGCAGAAGCCAAGCCAGTAGAGAAGGAACCAGAATGAGAGTTTCTGTTGCTCAAACCAAGTTCCTTGCTCCTGAACTCACCTTATACTCCCTGCTCCTTCTCACCACCCCCCTTTGCAGGTCACCCTCAGCTATGGTGTCTTTGAGAACAAGCTCAATGTTATTGAACTCAGTGGCCCTTTCTCACCCCAAAAGGACCCCTCAAGGTACAGGGCATGAGTGCTCTGGGTGTTGCTGTAGTGTGACAACAGGCTGGGAGGGGGAGGTAGCCAAATGGGGTGCAGAAGGTGAGGGATGGAAACCTTGCAATCACTTGGCCTGTTGGATGAGGGGCACAGCAGCATTAAGGTGTTTGGGAACATTTACAAACTTTGCAAATCTTTTTGGATGAGTGGGTGGAAAAGGAGTATCAAAACATTCAGTTCAGACAATTTCTGAGCCAAAAGCATTGCCATTTATTTCACATTTTGAGACTGATCAAGCTAACCTTTTACCTCCAGGGTAGGAACAGATACGTTCTTTTAAACTCAGGAAAGGAAATTCTGCCCGCTTTTTCATTTTTTGTTTTGCTGAGAAACCTGAAAGGAAGAAAGAAAAAGGTTCACTTTGACTGCAAACAAAGTGTTCTTTGATTTGCCTGCTCTGCTTTGAGTGAACAAACCTAAAGTTGTTATTTGCAGAGCATGGGTAGGAAGCTCTTGGCTGGAGATAGCAGGGGTGGGAAGCAAGTAGGCGATGAAAAGATCAACAGAATTATGTAGCGACGGGCTGCTGCAGTGTCCATCCCACTGTTTGTGATCAGGGTGAGCCACGGGCTTGGGCTACATGGGCCAGAGCTGGATTCAGGTGTCGGAGGGAGGCTTGGTTGCCTACCTTTGCTGAGAAAAGACATCTTAAGGTGAACAACCAGTCCTGGAGTTCTGTGGGCACCCTGTAGCGCAGGGTGGGCACCTGATGTAGGATGGGACATGAGGGAGAGGTCTTCTATTCTCTGTGTGCTGGTGTAAAAACTGCTACCTGACCTTCCTTTGCTCTCTCCCCAGCAGGTTTCGATCACTCCACTGCCATCTCTATCCTGATACCTCTTGGTGCCTGCAGGCTGCTGGCTGGTGATGCATGAGCCTCAGCTACAGTGGGTCCTGGTGGCATCCATGGGTCCTGGTGACACATCCATTCACCCCATGCATGCAGGGGCTGGGACACTGAATATGCTCGGTGCTCCCAATTTCCTCTTTTCTATGGTGGTTTTGGGGCTGTGTGATGGTTTTTTTTTGATCCTTCCTGTGTACCAGTGACACAGGACAAGAGACAAGATCTGTCTCAGTGATGGATAACATGGGCTGGACACATAGATGAGCTTCCCATCTGTGCAGGGATACATGAAAGGGATGGGAGCAATATGCCTTCCTGAGCAGATCAGGGACCGGGTAGTGACTGCTGGGCATTTGGGTAGAGGTGGGGACCTGCTGCTGCTCGTTGCTGTGGATTCATCTTGCTGCACTGCAAAGGCCCTGGGTATAGGTAACCAGTGCCCAGCTGAGGACGGCTGGTAGTGTGTCATGGCTCCAGCTTCTGTGAACAAGCCTTATTCCTCCGTATCTGCTTGTGCTTTCCCCACCTCCCACACTTCTCTGCCACAGACTTTTTCTTGAGTCTCTGCTTAGTCAAGGTCTATAGAAATGGAAAATGTGACCATTTCTGTGCTGAATGAGTGCTGGAAAAGTGTAGTCCTTGCTCAGCAGAGGAAGATGGGCAGGAAGTACAACGAATCAGGAATTCCCCGCTCTGCTGGCACAGAGGGGTGGGGCGCCAGGAGGAGACTGACCGCAATGAGGATGCTTCTTGCACTGAACATTGGAGCCTTGATCTTGTATGGCCCTGCATTATCCTTCTCTTTTTACCTTCTTGATTTGGGGTCAGGATAATCTCTTGCTCTAATTACCAACCTGTCGTCTGAGATTAGGCTCCAACTCCTATCTGTGAGAGAGGAGACATAAAGGATTAGAACTGGCTGAAAGAGAGGAGAAAGGAAGAGATGGAGAAGGAGCGCTCAGGAGCTGATTAGAGGTTACAGCTTTATAATCTTCTCTGTGCCCTAACAAAAAAAAAAAGAAGTCATGAAGGAATGGAAACAGCAAGGCAAAGAGGTTTTTATCTCTGCATTTCTTTCCTCCAGGTGCTTAGATCGGCTTTCTGCCTTCCTGTTGTCCCTGCTGAGTGCAACAGAGGAAAGGAGCAGGCCCAAATAGGTTACAGGCTTTCTGGCGTGTTTGTGGAGAGTCCTTTTCTCAGAGCCTGGCATGAAAGCTGGGCAATTCTGCTTGCTGGGGAATGAATTTCGGCACCGTTTTGTCCTTGTACACACGGTTAAATGGCTGGGGTACAGCATAGCAGGGAAAGCTGGGAAGCAAAAGGGCTGTTTTAAATGGCAGGTGGTAGCACAAACAGGTATTTCCCTTTCAGGAACATTTCCAAACACACTGCTGGGATCTGTGAAAGATTCCTGTAATCTCCAGATGAAAGGACAGATGCCCTTTCTCCAAAGAGCTGCTCGGCTTTGACGCTGCTGTTGTGACTAAGCCTGTGGCTGGTGGGCTGGAAGAGCCAAGGCTGACTATCACTGTGCCGCTACCATTCTGAAAACTGGCCACCCTGTCCCAAAGCATCTCCTACACAGCACACACGAGTTTAAAGGGAAGGCGTCAGAAAGACCTTTCACCTCTGCAAAGGAGCATCTAGAATGAATGAGCACTTTAATTTCTGGAGAAGCAGACAGCAGGAGCCCGTACAGCTGTTTTCCAGCCTGGTCCTTCTTACCATCATTTAACCACTCTGTGAAGCAGCAGAACACCCTGCTTTCTTCTCCTGCACAAAATGCCTTTGACCTGGAAGTTCATCCTAAGGGTGACAGGAGCTAGCTGTTGCCAGTGCCTATAACTTGAGTCGTGTGAAGCTCTTGGCTCATACAGCTACACGAACCTAGGAACCATGTGGCTCTAAACAAAGACACCCAACTATTAGAAAGCAAGTGCAGCATGAAGAAGTCCTCCCCACCGGGCAAATGGTTTGGTTTGAACTCAACATGAAGATGAGAGATGCTTCTGTGAGAAGAAATAAGATCCTTCAAGAGAAATCTACACTACTCTGATATCTTGTTTTTCCACCATTCAAACTTTCAGCTGTTGTTAATGGACACTTTGAGTTAAAAAGCCAGTCCTATCTGGAGATGTCCTGGTGACAGTCAAAACAAAATGTGGTTCCTGTGCCCAGGGAAGGAGAGGAAACTGGTACAGCAGCTTCACTTCCCTGGCGAAAAGCAAAGCAGAGAAACTGGAAGCCTGCTTTGCATTCTGGCTGATGCAGGTGGTCTGAATTGACCTGGTGCCTTTTGCCCAGCTGAAGATCAGATATTACATGGGTTGAGCCCTTGAGTGGCTGCATAGGAACTTTTTTAAGACTGGGCTTCATTGCTGGAGCAGTTAAGTGCCACTTCTGCGACAAATTTCTTGTCTCATAAGGAAACTGAGAGCAGACAAGAAGGTGTCTGGGATAGGGCATCTCCTGGGCTGTAGAGCAATGAATGACAGAAAAGTCCCGTTACGCCTGTGACGACAATGCACTGGAAAGAAAATAGCTTCTTGGAGTCGACAAAAGAAACCAGATTTTCTCTAAGAAGAGAGAGATAGCTTAAGGGGACATTCACCACATGAAATCTGATCAATGTTAAAACCTGTGTTAAAATTAGTCTCAGGAACTATTCCTGCCCCTGCGGCTTGCTGTCAGATGTTGTGGTTTTACAGCCTCATTTCCCTAGTTTATTAAAACGTTTAGCTGTTTAGGGAGAATGAGAAACAATCTCACATGAAACTTTTCAGGGGTCTGTCTGTTTTAATTCTCCTTCATGATTTTCTGTTGTAACAATTGAGGTTTTGGAAAGGTTCCACTGGGTCTTTCTCTTCTTCTTCTTCTTTTTTTTTTAATCTCTCTCTTTCTCTATCTCATGCTCCCTTTTCTTATTGCAGGGAAAAAAACCCCACCCTCTCCCAAGAATGAAAAAGTGATGGAGACGTGGTCTTTATATTTTACTGGGAAAAGCGGGTCAAAGTCAAAGGTGTTGGCATGACCCTGCTGTTTTACAGCATTAAGTGTAGTACAAGGTTTCAAGTACAGAGACCTCTGTCTGCCCATGGCACCATAGCAACCAGCACTATTAATGATGTTTAAGCTGTATAGTGAAGACTTAGAAAAAAGAGGAGGGGAAAAAAAGCAGTTACAGTATTTGAAATGTAAAGTATTAAGTGAGGCTTTCATGTTAACAATACCCTTTCTTCGTTTCCCCCTTAGCTGTGAAGAATTTTTATAAGGAAACCCCTATTTGACAGTGCAAAAAAAAATGCTAATGACTATCCTTTCTTTAGGGGAAAAGAGAAATTAGTTAAAATAGGTGGGAAACTGCAGTTTGTGCTAAAGGTTTGAAGGGGAGAGAGAAGAATAGAAGAATAGTGCTAGACAATGCTTCTGTTTCTGGTGCCAACTCCTTTTAAAAGCACTGCTGCTGAAGAAAAACAGATTTCTAAGCCACTGTGGGATTTACCCTACTCATACCTGGATTGCAGGCTCCAGCTCTCTCCCCAGGCCTCTTCCTGAAGATACAGCCTTTAAAAGATGAGCAGTTTATTAGACAGAAGCCAAAAGGTGAGAAATAGGAACAGGAAGGAAACCACCATGTGGGGCCTTGGAGAAGAGCATGGCAATATCAGCTGTGCATTGAAAGTGCTGTTTGGGAGCTTTTATGGGAAATGGGTGTTTCCTGGACCTCCAGCTCTGGGTGTTTTTGTGATCAGGACAATTGCAGCTCACCAGTGCCACAGAGGATGCCAGCCTGTGAGTCAGAGTTCATCTTGGAAGAAGTGGGATCGGGTTGGTTGGCTCCAAACTTCTTTTCTTTTTTAATATTTCTAAATAACGCTCTAGATAAGTTGATGTCTTTCCGTCTGACAGTTCTACACAATTCCTGACAGCAGATTTGGCCTCTTGATACTGTCTCTGCCCTTGCTTACAAGGCAGGCTCTTCAGACAGTCCAGGGATGGGATCAGCAGCTCTTTTCATTCATTTAATTTCTCTTGTCTTTAACTCCTGAAGAACCCTACAAGACATCTGGCTTGCCCTTTTGCACTGCAGGTAACCAGGGCTCTACACAGCTGAGTGTGCTTGTGGGGCAAATGCGAAAGTGAAGGAGGGTGGGTGACTGCTCCATTCTGTAGCAGCGAGGGCACGGAGAGGAGCAGACCATCCTTATGTTCTTCCTCGAGGCACCTGCTAGCAGCTGGTGGAAGAGGTGGGGTCTTATACTAACTGGGACTTTCTTCTGTCCCAAATACTGCTCAGTTTATGGCTCCACTGAAAAGGATGTGAGTGTTACCATGGACCATAAGGAAGACCAGAAAAAAAGAGCAGCATCACAAATGTATAAATAACTCTCTCAGTTCTCACCAGCTGATGCAGGAATCTTTCCTCTAAACTTTCTGCCCAATTACCTGGGAGGTTAAATGAGTGCAAGACTGAGCTACTGTTTCTCAGCTGGTGTTACTTCTTTAAGATTGTTCCTTGATCGCCTGAGATTTTTGTTGCTCCCTCTTTGATCCAGTTTGGACTCCAAGAAAGCTGGGAACTCATCCCTCTCCCAGTTTGAGCTGTATGTGATTAATTACAGATCCCGAGAATGGGCTGCTTGCCTATCTTTCATGTTTAAATTGCTTTCCAAGCAATTTTGCAAGGCTAAGGAGCCTCTTTAGATGTTACATCTGACTGTGCCTTGGTCAAGCCTCCCTTGGTTTTGCTGGGAGCTGCATCTGATTCACAGTGAACTTTGGGAACACATTAAACTGAGTGCTTTATATATGGATTTTCTGGTCCTAACCCTTCTGTTGCTGCTTGAGAAGAAGGCAGCGTTGGTCTTAGCCACATAGGAAAAAGAAGTGCAACTAACCAGGGCAATGGATGAGGGAGATGCTGCTATTCCAAAAGCCCTGCTCCCCCCAACAAGTAGTCCATGGGGAGATCTGCAGCTCATGCCTTTAGGCACAGTGTATCAGTGGAGGATATGCCATGAAACACCCAGCATTTACACCAGCAAAGAATCCAGCAGCCCCAGTTGTGAGCCAAGGCCAGCTTATGTTTGGTGCTGGATAGAGGAAAACGGTGCCTACTCCTGTGCACTTACAAGCAGAGACAGGCTGGGGAAGGGAGGGAGGGCTTACAGGAGCAATGAGGCAGTATTGTCACATCTAAGCAGGGGGAACAAGATGGTCTTTGGGACAGGAAGGGACAGGGTTCAGGAGAAAAGATCCTTCTTCATCCAGAAATATCACAAAGCAATTTATCTGAAAGATGGCTGATACAAGCACATGAGAAGGGAAAGGTGAGGGAAGAAGAGAAAGAACCAGTTCAAAATCTACATCCTCTTCATGGCTGTGTTGGCAGCTGATGAATGCTGTCCCTGACTGGTACCTTGGGGTTTAGGGGTTTAACAGAAAGAGGGGAAAGCTGGAAAGAAAAAGGCAAGGATTATCTTCCCCTACTGACACACTCAATGCTGGCCTGTGGCTTCTCACCCATGGCTACCCCAGCAGCCATGGAGGAGATGTGGGACTTGGAAAGAGCATCAAACTTTACTCTGTCCTGTGTGTCTTCTGCGTGGGGGAGCTGCATGTAATTTGGCTTTAATGAGCACTCAGAGAAGCAGCAGACTGGGGCAGTGAGCAGGATGCATGTGCTGAAAAGTCTCTGCCCCTTCCTCACTGAGCTATCTTTACCATCAGCTTTGGCTGGACCAAGGCTGAATGCAGAGGCTGGTCAAGCTCTCTCCATTTGTGATGGTGTTTCTTCTGCTGTGCAAGGGGGAATGCTTCTGTCTGGGCTCTTGAACGGTCCTGTTTCCCAAAGGCATGGTGTGGGGTGCAGACAGACAAGGGCTTGGTGCAGCTGGTAGGGAGAGCAGAGTCCTCCATACCCCCCTCCTTTCCCCCCAGCATTCAGCTAGTGTTGGACGGTGTCTGTTTTTAGCAAAAGTCGCAGATTCAACAGCTGAGCTGATTTTCCAAAGGGACATATAAAACAAACAGCCTGCCATCTGCTCTATTGTCCTGGAATAGCTGCTTGAAGGGTGGGGGGAGAGGGAAGGAGGAGAATGAAGGGAATGAGAAACGGAGGTGGGGGGAGAGGATGGAAGGAGAGGGAGCAGAAGAGAGGAAGATGCAAAAAAGGGAGACAGGAAGGTCATGGAGGGGAGAGGAGGGTGAAGGTGGAGGCTGAGGGAGGGAGGGAAGGACATAAAGTAAAAGGGGAGCTGAGTGAAAGCAGGGATGTGGTGAGGGAAGAGGACCAGAGACCGGCACGGGGCTAAACAGGGCTTGCTTGGGATCACCCTGGCTGGATCCCTGGCTGTGAGCTGCAGGGGCAGGCACTTCCAGCAGCCTTGTCCTTGCTGAGCCAGAGCCTGGCTGCAAAAGCAAAAACTGGGCTTAGTGGCATGGATAATCCCTCCCCTTCCACTCACAGCCCTGCCTGCTTGCCTCCTGTACACCCCCCCCACCCCGTGTTGGCTTTTATTGAGTGCTGCAGGGCAGGATTGAACTCCAGGTTTGGCAGCAGAGTAAATAACAGCAACATTGGCCTCTCCGGTCTGGGAGGGAGGAGGGCTGGTTTTAATCAAAGGTAAATAACAGTCGGTATTCTCTGACCCTTAATCCAATTTCCTAGAACTGGAGAATAATGTTCCAACTTAGACACGTGGCACTGGCCCGGAGGAGGGGGACGGCTATGCAGCTAGCCAGCTGCTGGGAACAGCACAAGGAGAGCAGAACTGGGGAGATGCCCCAAGGCAGGTAGTTCATGCCTAGGACTGTGCTGCTCTGATTCTTCCTGGTATATTTCACTTGCTTCAATCATTCCAAAAAATGGGAATGGCTTGCTGGCAGGCAACACATCCCCATGGAATGTGGACCCAATTGATTAAAGGCTCCCTGATTTGCTCTGCTGACAGGAATGTTGGGACCCAGCTGATGCCCCACATCTGCATCCCTGAAGGGCATTTTGCCTTCCATGGTGACCTGGAGAACGGTGATTATGAAGTTGTGCTTGCTGTTATATGATCGTGGCAGGAATCACTATAGGTTCTTGTTACATGTTAAGCGTGAGCAAGAGTTCAGTGTAGGAAAGAAATGTTTGTATTGTTGTTAGTCTGGTTACACAAGAGTCTGTGCGATTGGAGAGTTTGCACTTGGGCTTGGTCACATATTAGAATCATAGGGAGTTAAGTAGGTGGTGTTATTGGGCTATTGGGAGGTTATCTAGTCCTACAGCAGGTCCAGCCACCTTACAGCCCTGCTGTCAGATGTTTTTCCAACTGGCCCTTAAAACATGTTGTTCTGGTCCAGACTATTGATGTCAGGTTGGAAAACCAGTTTGCTAGTAACAAAGCATTGGTTACTAGGTTGATCTCAGAAAGACGGGTTTATTCTGCAGCTCTGCACCAACAGTGATTTGTAGATGTCCATAAAGCAACTCTCTCAGGCTCTTGGGCATGGCTTTCTCCTGTGTCGGGCAGCTAATGTGGAATTCTCTGGAACAAAAATGACATGATAAGGCCAGGACATGCTTAGAAAGCGGCAGAAACACGTACTGGAGCTGAGGGGAGAGGAGGTCAGCCTGAGGAGGAGTGAGGTCTGTCCTTTACAGAGAGGCGAAGAGGATGGCTGATCCTTACAGTGACCTATCCTAACAGGTTAGAAATGCAGCTCCAGAGTTGCCTCATGTTCATTCAGCTCCCCAGCCGTGGGCACACACTTCACTACCATCCAGCCCTGCCCTTAGAGCGTCCTGCTGAAATTAATGGCAGGAAAGAGGAAGGGAAAAAATATCTTTTACATCTATTTGACTGTGTGCTTTCTTGTTCCCTTGCTCAGCTCACTCCAGGAAGCACACTGCTTCTGAAGAACTGTCTGAAGTCCCTGGAATGGCCTCTGCTCTATGTGCAGGGGCCAGCAGAGAGAGGCTGCGGGGCCTGGGGCTGGCTTGTGGCTGGCTCTGGTCAGCACCATGGACAGGGCCTGGCCTTGTTTTGCCTTCCCTGACTTGCCTTGTCTTTCCTTCCCTTTCCTTGCCTTATCTTTCCTTCTCTTGCCTTGCCTTGCCTTCATCTTGTTCCAGGCTGGCGGGCAGCCTCCTGGTATGGCACGACCCCGTTTTGGCTTGCAGCCTGCACCAGCCGCTCTTTTGCTCTTGCTTAAGAACAAATACACAGCACTGTGGTTCTGTACGCAGCTGCTCTGAAGCTGTAGCTTAGATCTGGGTTATTTTTTACAGATAAATCCTCTTTTCTATCAGATTTGACATCAGGCAATCCCTCCAGATCCCTCTCTTTCTCCCTTTCTGATTTCTCTCTTCTCTTTCCTGCCCTGTATTCTCTTTCCTTGTATCTGTGCTATTCCCTCTATATGCCTCCCTCCCCTTTTCTTTCCCTATAGCCAGCCCCCGAATGTCATTTCATCTGCTCACTTTCTGCTGCTTTGCATCTCCACAGTACTCTTCTGCTGCCCTCAAATTTATGTATTTTACTGCTTTCCTTTTTGTATCTCTTTTTCTCACTCCCTCTCCTGGTTGTTTCTCTGTGGTCATTTCCACAGCAATGTCATCTTACCAGAGAGCCTTCTCTGCCCTGGAGTTCTGCATGTTGAGATCAGGTGGAAATACCTAGCAAGTGCTTTGGTTTTGGGATGCTACTACAACTGATGGAGCTTGATATCCTCTGCAGGGGACTTAACTTTTTTATATACTGCCCCTTACCTTCCAACTGCTCTGATAAGGAACTTACAGGGTGGTGGAGACAGAAAGCAATCACAGAGAAAGAATTAAAGCTACAGGCAGTCTGAGAGACAGTTGGAGTCACTGGCTGATGGATGGGAGGGTTGTGTATGGCTCAGATAAAAAATATTTCCCATTTCTCAGAAGAGCTCTGGTATTTGTTTCCTTCACGGTTTGTGCCCACACAGAACCACCAGCCTAGGAATGGGACAGAAAGCTATAGAAACCTGAAGTGAAAGAGGTTTACAGAGAGTTGTAGTCAAGCCTTGTTGAATCCAGTGTGAATTTCTGTCTCTCTGCTCTTCTTCTCAGAGTCCAGTCTGGGTGGCACAGGAATCATCCCTGGCTTTCCCCTGGGAGCTCTACAACCCCTGCAATGTCCCTGAAACAGGTTTTCAATACTGCTGCAGGACACTAGTAATGTGCATTGTCTTACTTGGTAGGAGCTGGAATCTAGCGGGCGAGAGAATAGGCTGAGGGCTTCATTGCTCCTTGGAAGTGATCCAGTTTGGGATAACGGGGTTTCAGTTTCATAAAATAATTTTCATTTACAGGAGACTGGGGAACTCCAAACCTGATGCCACTGTGGCTGGGATTTAGTTATGGGACCATGGAGAATGGGATCCATGCTGACACCGTAGGCATCTGGATTTGAGTAATGAGGAGAAATGAAGGAGGCCTTGGTTCCTTTTCACATTTTTTGGTGCCTTCTAAAATGGGAGCCGTTGTGGCAGTGACCCAGAGGCCCATTCACAGGTAAACAGACTGCAGCAACCGGAGATTGAGTAGATGGGTATGGAAAAATAGTGGTTGTACCCCACCTTGCCTGCTCAACAAGTCACAGCATGGAATCCCAAAGAGCCTGAAAACTGTTTGGAAAAGGCAATGGATTTTCTGTCAAGCTGGAGCTGTCCTCTGTAAAGTGACATTCACATTTTTACTGAAGTTTTTCTGGCCTGCATTTCTTCCAGCACTTCAGGTTAATAGGAGCAGAGGCTGGCTCCGCATTGTCTGTGGCTCGACATTTAGACATGTGTCAGA